CGCGGTTTCAGCGAACCCGGGTTCCGGGCTCCGGTGCGCGCCCCCAGCCGGGGCTCGGGGCATCTCTGTCCCGTGCCGGGACTCAGTCGGGGTGGGGGAACTTCGCCTGCGAGGCAGCGGCGGAGCTCGGCCCTGACGGGGCCACCTCGAGGTTTGTTCGGAAAACGGTTGTTTGTGCGGGTGGCATCATTAGCCACCGTTTACCCTCATTTGAAGCCTAGGAGGGTTCTCCACCCCGGAGAGGCTTGCACCGCAGCTGAGTTCTTTATGCTCAGTTTTGTGGGTATCGTGGCATTTTTAATGCTTGATGTCAGAGGTGATAAATGGCCGTGCTAATGGGGAGCCCCGAGGCACCTGCTGGGTTTATGGTAGTGCAGGCTGTGTCTGTGGGTAGGACGGGAGAAAGGAAACAGATCTGGCTTGGATATTCTGCTGAAGTTATGTTTTTGTCCAACTATTCCAGTTCCAGAACAAGTTGATAAATCCAGTTATAGGACTTTGATAGAAGAGGTCTGAGTGTCAGGCACCAGGGTGACCTGGTTTGTCTAAGAATGTTTGGGGTAGCTTAAGTGTCACTTATCATTTCCGCTTGTCGTGTTCGTTTTCTTGCTGTCACAAATGTCACAGTGTATGAGTGGTTGCAAGGATAAGGAAGAAGCTAGGGGACAGCATTTAGCTTTAGGCCTGAATCCAAGATTGAGATGTTTTCAAATGAACAAATGTGTAGCTAGGAAAAGGAAAATCTTTTTACCTACCAAATTGTTAGGTTGAGAGACTTGTCCTTTGGCCGAGAGCTCTCTGTCCATACTAATACTTCATTTTGTGTAGTGCCATGCATATGAATGATTAAGTGGCCAGGACAGCCAGAGATACCTTTCCTAAGGTTTGTGTGATTTCAGTTTTCCTAATTATTTTAACCAAAGCGTTACTACATTAAGGGTTCCTAAGGCGTATCCTTCTATGAATCTCTCAGTGTCTTGGATTTTTATATTTGGTATATACTAAAGGGAATACACATTTATTTGCATTCAGCTTTACCTTGGAGATAATCCTGAGTCATGCTTTCAAGAAGTCCCTTCTGTGATTGAGAGCTCAGATGTCTGGTGGTCTGTGTAAAAGTCAGATGCACCCCTTTGTCTTTAATTTTCCCTTCTGGAGCTCTGGGGAAAGTAGAACTCGGAGACACTAGAACCACACTTGAGAGCATTTTCTTTCATATATTCCATATATGCCAGTGCTCTATATTTGTGTCCATTTGCTCAAGTTTCTCAGTTCACCCTAGAAATTTTGTTTATGACACTGCCACTAGTATTTTCTCTCACATGTTAATACTAGCTATTTTACAGATGGTTTTATATTCATGATCTTGATTATTTTCTCTCCCTCTCTCTTTTTTTTTTTTTTTGGCTCAGGTTCTCATATTTAGTAGTGGAACCAGGTTGGGGTACAAATCCTGCCAGTAAACAGTTCTTTTTCCTTGGTACTGACCTGCTTGTGACTTCAGAACCCTTGTCCTGATCTGTTACCCTATAGGACAGTCGTTGCCTTTGTGTTGTGTTTAAGTGGTATAATTACTTTTGAGAAGGTGATATCATCCCATTTCATCTTGTAGAAACTAAGGGTAAGAGGAATATTATGACTTTGTGACTGTTTGTGACAGTCCTTCAGTGTTAAGGTCACTTTTCAACCTAGATGCCTTGAAAGAAAGGCATCAAAAAGAAGACTGCATGGAGAGAAGAAAGAATTAGATTAGGAAAAAACAATCCGTTTCTTCAGTGGTGTGATTAAGAATAACCTAACACTATAATCACTTTCTCCTGGCTACTTGTGCTAGCCTGTATGTGAATGTTAACCCAAAAGACTCCTTTAGATGTTGTTGAACTAGTTGCTATAAAAAGTATTTCACTTTTAAACTCCCACGTTTCAAGAACAGAGAAATTCAGTACAAAGGTAATTTTGAAGGTATGTTTAGGTAGAATTTATTGAGTCTTTTTTTCTTGAATGCCAGACATGAAGATTCAGTAGAAAGGCACGTAAAAAGGGCTTGTAGAAACTCCAGGAAGGCAAGAGCTGTAAGTTCGGAGGTGTGTATTGCAGTGCGTGTAGGTTGTTAAATAGGAGTAGGGCTTTTTCCCAGGGAAATTCTTAGCTTAAGTCTGTAGCAGGAATGGTAAGTCCACAATATTTATGTTAAATTATTTCATAAAAATCATAAAGCCTATAATTGCAATTCTGTAGAAGAGAGGACAATGACTTCTGTAGTTCTTAGAGTTCTTTTTTAAGTCATTAATATGTTGAAGAGTGCATTTTAGAGATTTGCTATTAGAAAATTCTTAGCAATTTCTTTTAAGGCTTTTGTAAATTCCTTACCATGTGTTTTCTCTAGCTTAATTATCTGCTAATAAAGCATTGTCAAAATTTGTACATTAGCAACAATTAACCTTTGAAGCTTAAATGTGGGTGAATTTTTAGTACTGCTTTATGTATTTTTTTTTTAAGATTTATTTATTTATGCATACAGAACTGGGGTACAGGCCAGAGGCTCAGGGGCGGCCCGAGAGGCTTCACCAGAGACAGAGTGGGGAGCAGAACAGGCAGATGGACAAAGCACACTGCTGAGGGGAGCAGCGGGCGGGTCAGGAGAGGTCTGCCACGCCATGCGGTCACCTCCGGGACAGGCGGGAATCGAACTCATGCGGAAATGGCTTTAGCTTTTCAGTGCTGTGCTTTAACCCACTGCGCCACCAGGGAGGGCCCTGCTTTATGTATTTTTGAGGGATGGTCAGCTAACTGTTTCTGTAAGAATTTTATTTGCACTGAAGATCAGATCTTTTCAGGTAAACTGATTTTACAGGATCAGGAATCTTTCTTTGAATGTTCATTGTTCACTGTTGTTTAAAATGACCTTTAATCAGAAAAGTTATTTTAAGGGATTTTTGTTTTTTTCATTGTAACCATTATAATCTATATTTTGGACAGTAGTTTTGAAATATTAGGTTTTTCTTTGTCTTCCTCAAGTGAATCACGCCCATTTGATGCCCATTTCGAGAAATTTTTCTGCTGACTGTCTAGTGGTCATTTAACTTCTCATTAAACTGTCCACTGGAGACTGTGCCAGAAAGAGAGAGGATGAAAAGTAAATGAATCATTTTCTAATTGTTAGCAACTCCGGAAAAAAATTCAGCAGAAGAGGTCGAAACTATTCTGAAAATTCTTTTGGATTATGTTTTATTTCATTCACTTGCATTGTTTCTTAGATTTCCCTATTAGTCATCAATTCAGAGACAGATTGCCCAGCTGTTGGATAACCAGCAATCTTCCTGAATTTTTTTTTGTTTCTTGCTGTATCTAAACATTTCCACAGAGGAGAGTCAGAGGTAAAATTTAATCAATACGATGTTTTCCTTTAGAGCTCTTTAGTGGACAGTTTGATTTTTGGGGACAGTTTAGTCACTGATACTGGAAATGACTAACGGTAACTTTGTTTTATTTTTGAAGCTTTGGGGTGCTTTTTAAGAAACATGGCCTTATATAGATTTCCATAATTGCTTTGAATTGTTAAACTTGAGGTTTTATTACATTTTTATACTAGTATAGAATCTTGGCTTTTGCTGTCTAACAGATTCAGGGGCATCATCTTTTTTTTTTTAAATCATTACTCAAGAAGTTATTTTGTTTTGATTTACCATTAGAAAAAGAAAGAATTAATAGTAGACAGATGTTGCATAACAGCTGTAATATTGATGATGTTTACTTTTTTCCCCCCATCTTTGGTCCTCCATTTCTTATTTAACCATTCAGATATTCATGGATTGAAGTTTTTACAGTCACTTAATACAGGAGATAGTCACAGTAGTGAGTAGATTGTCACTATTTTGCCTCAAGGGGAACTTTTACAAATCCATTATGACTGAGTTCCTGTTTATTTGTAAATAAATCTCTACAAGGTGGATAGGGATAGTGGGTGACTATCTGGGGTTTAAGATTTATTTTTTATTTATTTATGCATACAAGAGCTAGGGGTAGACCAGAGGTGCGGGAGGTTGGGGGTGGTGGTGGTGAGAGGATGCACAAGAGGTAGAGTGGGGAGCAGAACAGGTGGATCTCCTGAAATACACTGCTGAGGGGGGAGCAGTGGATGAGACACAAGAGGTCTGCTGGACCACCTGAGTCAGCTCCCTGGCCATGATCAAACTCATGGGGCAATGACTGATGATAAAGCCTGATAGTGCTGAGACTTTAATCCCTGTGTCACCAATAAGGATCCTCTTCTATTTTTGTTTCAGTTTTGTTCTTTTGATTTCCAGCCCAGGAAGGGATTTATGGAAAGATCTAGATGAGGAGTTAGAAAAATAATCTTTATTCAGCTACTTTTCAGCTAGAGACCTTGAGCTAGTCATTTAATTGCCTCTGTTCCTATCTTTTGTATTTCTAAAATGGCTAAAGAAATCCACACCTTTCTTGTAGGAATGTTGAGGGGATTGGGAGTGGGGGAAGGGAAGGGTATTGACTGTACCCAACACTTTAATACTTGTCTTTTCATTCTAGAATCCCTTCTCAGATTGTCCAAATATCCCTTCAGGATTCTACAGAGCAAGCTTTTCCTGGAAGTCTGCCCTCCATTTCCCTATTTGTAGTTTTGTTTTGTTTGTTTGTTTTTTTCTTCCTGCAGGCCTCTGCCAGTCTATTTATTATATACACTTTTGAATTCTTTTCTGTACTTCAGTTGTTGCATGTTGTCTTTCCTCATAGTCTGAAAGCTCCACGAGGGTAAAGATTGGGTCTTTCCTATTTCTGTGTACAGCTTTCTCCTGCTGTTCAAAAGCAGGATATTTCTGCTTGTTAAGATTTGGTAGGTTATTTTGAAGAGTCTGCAAAAGCTATTTCCATTAGTTTATATTTGCGTATTCCCAGATTCCCCAGAATAACCTACCAAATCTTTTCAAATCAGTACGTTCTGCTTTCAGATGGTGGAAAAAACCTGTAAACCGGTATCTCCATTGTACCTAGAATCCCTCCTCCTCAGTGCCTCCACTCCCTGGTTGACCTATAATAAATACTGGCCGAATTATTTTTGAGACTGACAGGAATGAATACTTTGGGTGATGGAAAGATGCCAAAGATGAGTACCTAACCAAAACCTTTGGATGGCTAGCTTTTTAAATCCTCAGTTACTGATCTGTCATTTGTATCTAGAACTGATTCAGATTTTTGAAATACCAATTGGTAAAGTTTGTTTCTTGATTCAGTTCACTTTAGATAATGTTTATGAAGCAAGGTAGAGAAATGATAGGCTGCTACAGAGCCCTGAATTGACATTTGTTCCATTTCTCACTCGCTAACATGTGGAAACCTATTTGTCTCCAGTGCTGAGTGTGGAGAATAGAAACTGACTGCACATTGTCTGATGCACATTTCGCTTGTTTGCTTTGAAGAATGTGCAAGGTGGAGGAATAGATGCTGCAGGCTCTGATTTCAGCCCATGCTGTGCTATGCAAATGTTCTCTACATGCCTGAGTGACCTTTTGAGAAAGAGCCTTTGTGATCTTCTGTGGCCGGGGCCTGCTCTGGGAATTGTGTGCCAGATTTCTCTAAAAGTGGGAAAAGTGAATCTGTTCAAAGACCACATTAAAAAAGCCAGTGCTTTTTCTGGATAAATACTGATAAGTCCACGTTTCTTACTATCTCTTCTCAGAGTTTTTGAAATTTGCTCTGTAGTGTGCTTTTCAGGTTGATATGGGAAATGATATTTGTGAGGGGGAGTGACTAAAACAATTCAGAAACTAGAAAATTGCTTTTGAATTGCGGAGAAAAATAAATGCATACTGGCATCATTAATATCTGAATGTTTATCAGTGTCTTAAGGCTGGCTTTTCGTAAGTATTGGCTGAGTGACTTTCACAGGTTCTTTTTGTCCCAAATTACTCATTGTTTGACATTTGAATTAATTTTTGTTTTGATTATTGTTTTGATTATTAAAAGTATAACTATTTTATGTTACAAAAGAAATACCATTCTTATGTATTTCTCTAGGAAAGCACATATAGCATGCAACCAAGGAACCTCAAACAGATGGGGTGCATACTCTAAATCAGGGTGTTATATATCACATGAAGACAAAGGTAGCAGACTCTTAATGTGATAGATCTTTAATAGAGTTAGTGTGCCTAGAGAGGGAGGAGATGAGAGGATGCTGCTAATGGGTTCTCAGTAACACCCCAAATTACCCATCTCCTCACGGGCAAATGCCCAGCCAAGTGGGTTTAGGCTTGAAGCAGAGCACTGAGGACGGAAGGCTGATTACAGGGTTAATTGCCCGTCCAGTGGGTAGCCACTGGCAGGGGGCAAAAGGACTAAACAGGTATGTGACAAAGCTAAATCAAAGTACAAATGAAGATAATGGCTCCCGTCGTCTCTGCTGAGGACAGCCTCTGCACATGTCCCTTCTAAGTGTTTCTCATATCTCTCCTCGTATCATCTCCAAGTCCCCCCAAATTTCTGAGTGCAAGGCCAAGCCGGAGAACATGAGGCCCCTCAGCCAGCTGCCTTCTATGTTCTATAGCTTTACCTGGCCACTCAGCTCCTCCCACAGTTCCCAGTAGCTAGTCCAAGGCAGCAGTCCTCAAGTCTTTGAGGTTTATAGTTTTTAGTATTTTTTAGTTTGCATAGCTGCAATGTGGATAAAACGAATGATCTTTTAAATAAAGATCGTTCATCATAGGTTTGTACGAGGGTAAGGTCATAAGAGTTCTCCTGTAGAAATTCCAAAAATTGGACTTCCTGAGAAGATATGTAGAATTTGAAGAACTGTTTTACTTGGCAAGGACTTCTTCCTTCTAAGTATCGGGTAATAATTGTTCCTCTGTAAAGGTTGTCAGTCTCTCAGGTAAAGGTGTGGTAAAGATCTCGGAGATGTAAAAGACAGGAAGGGAATGCTTCTTCACAGATAGCTGCCCTCTAGCAAGTTTTAGCTGAGCAAAGATGAGTAGTTTTCTGGTGCTTGGCCTGCTCTGCTGGGTAGAAAAGCCAGTCTTGTCTGTTTTTGTGGTTACAGGTGCTATCACATGTCTTTTTCTCTTCCCCAAGTTTACCTGGAACCTGGGCTCCCGGAGACTCAGCGCTGGAGCAGATGGATAATGGAGACTGGGGCTATATGGTGAGAGCTTTTGTAGATGCATTTTGAAGACTGGCAAATTAATTTTGTGTGTCTTCCCCCTTATGTATTCTTAGGCATAGTACATTTTTTAAGGATGAAAATTATAAATAGGTGCACCCATGTTTTGTGCCCCCATCCACACTTTTAATTAGCTTAGATTTATTTTTTGGTTTTGTTTGTATATAGGCGAACTCAATATGGACTGCCAAAGTAACTTTTTATAATCATTGATTTTACAGAGGCTATGACATTTCTCTGAATTACTCTTCATAGGGTAGTGACTATTAAAGAGTCTAGTATGACTATTAAAGGGCCTAGTAGTAATGCCAGAATACATTTTCTTGTGTTAGGGAAGTTAAAGATGGAGAAGGTGCCATTTTTTCCACTTGCACTTTTTTTAATGTGTATGAGTCTTCCCATTTTTTCTTTGGTAACAAATACTATATTTTTACTGGTACCTGAAGTCTTATCAGTCTGTATTTTTTAAATTTAAATATGACTTCTAAAACCAAAAGTGTACATTATTTCCAAAAACCTGTGTTTCAAAACTAAAAACCACATAGCAGCAGTAATGTTATAAAAGTGAATACACTGTCAGGCTATGAAACTTGAAAGCTGTTAGTCTTTGAATAGATAAGATTTGTTGACTAAACTATGCATTTTAACTTAATAATCGGCAGTGTTATTTTCATGAAATTATGATGATGAGATCTATACCCAGATTTTTATTTTTAAATTTTATGATTTGCTCTCCTTTTTGAGGTGGCAAAACAAAACAATTATTGAAAGTAAATATCTATATATCAAATATTTTATTTTACATTGAAGTAGGTATGATGCTCTTTTTTTTTAATTAAAAAATATATTTTAGTCTGGCCTTTCTCTTTCTGTATTATACACTGGTCGGAAAACCTCTCTATGGTACTGGGCCTGAAATTAAATGGCTTTTGAAGCCATGACCTCCTTTCTTAATATAAGTCTTTAAAAAATTGAATTAAAAAAAATTTTAAAAAAAGGATTGGATTTAACTTTTTCCTGTTGAAAGAAAATATTAGATCTCTTCATCTGGATGGGCTTATCTCTGAAAATAAAGCTTTTTTGGATATGGGATTGCTAAGTACATTATAGCTTGAAGGAATCTTTTGCTTTGCTTACTACTATTAGCCTTTTAAATTTGTCAATGTTAGAATTTAAAATTTTTTGGATAACTGATCATATTTTAAAAAATTTCAGATGACTGACCCAGTCACGTTAAATGTAGGTGGACACTTGTACACAACGTCACTCACCACATTGACACGATACCCGGATTCCATGCTTGGGGCTATGTTTGGGGGAGATTTCCCCACAGCTCGAGACCCTCAAGGCAATTACTTCATTGATCGAGATGGACCTCTTTTCCGATATGTCCTCAACTTCTTAAGAACTTCAGAATTGACCTTACCCCTGGATTTTAAGGAATTTGATTTGCTTCGGAAAGAAGCAGATTTTTATCAGATTGAACCCTTGATTCAGTGTCTCAATGACCCTAAACCTTTGTATCCCATGGATACTTTTGAAGAAGTTGTGGAGTTATCTAGTACTCGTAAACTGTCTAAGTACTCCAATCCAGTAGCCGTCATCATAACCCAGTTAACCATCACCACGAAGGTCCATTCCTTACTCGAAGGTATTTCAAACTATTTTACGAAGTGGAATAAACACATGATGGACACTAGAGATTGCCAGGTTTCCTTTACTTTTGGACCGTGTGATTATCATCAGGAAGTTTCTCTCCGGGTCCACCTGATGGAATACATCACAAAACAAGGTTTCACGATCCGTAACACCCGAGTGCATCACATGAGTGAGCGGGCGAATGAGAACACAGTGGAGCACAACTGGACTTTCTGTAGGTTGGCCCGGAAGACAGATGACTGAGCTCCAACCCAGAAAGATTCTGGAAACTGACTCTCCAGGAGGTGGAAGAGACTGTTCTTCTTCTTTTTAATCACAGTGTGGGATTTAAAAAAAATAAGTATTTATTTGAAGGCATTAATGACCAGAAGGAAGTTTTGTGCTTTAGCAGACTTGTATGTTTTGTTTCCTTCACCCTGTGTATGCATGTGCCTGTTCAGAGCCTCCAGATACCTTTTTTATAAAAAGAAATCTGAAAATTATAATGGTATATAATCTACCCTTAACAGAGCTTTTTTTATTACAGTGCTAAATGATTTCTGATTAAATGGTCCCTAACTCAACTAGAAGGCTAAACATGCAGGAATGAATGAATAAACAGAGAACTCATGATGCCTTTGAGAAAAATCAGAACAGGTAGGGTGACCCAGTTTTCAAACCAATAGCAGTATTGTAATATTAAAGGAAAACTGTTCAATCATTTAAAAGTACTTGTGAAGTACTGCTTTTTTACAGTTATGACAACTGTTTCTTTCTATGCATATAAATCAAGCAACCAAATATCTGTAGCCATGGATATGTCTAACTAGAAATATTTATATTGAATTCTGACTACAAAAGTGTCCCTGTGATAGAAATTTTATGTTTCATGCCTGGTGCAGTATAATTTCCATGTGTACTGTCTACCAGAAAAAAACAAGTTAATAAAAAATGAAATATGAAAATTAGGTTTGTATTTACTGATTATTGTTACTTAAGGGAGAAAGTCATACTTGCATGTTTTGTTTTATGTTCCAGTATATACTGCCTTTTACACATTGGTATTTGATTCATGAGGATTCAGTAGAACCTTGGGATACAGTTTATAGAACACTGCCAGAGTATTAAAGCAGGAATAGATGTAATTACTGATTTTATCTAAAAGAATACATATTGAACAGTGAACATAGAATTTGTCAACTTTTTTCAAATAGAACTTAATTTGAAGATTACAGATTTTTCTTCAATAAGTCACTAGTTGTTATAGTTCTAAATATGGAACATGGGGACAAATTGACTCTTGAGCCACCTTATTTTTACATATTGTGGTGATTCACAAATGTATTTTATTAAATTTATGCTATTTCTGAGGAGAAGAAATAAAGTGTAGTGAGTGAAGGATTTGAAACAGAGATGTATGTACTTTCTTTCACTATCTTACTTTGCATAGTTCATTTGTTAGCAGTTGTTCATGGAAAGGATTATGTAAAGTATAGTGAGACTCCCTAATTTGTTAGAACACTTTGCAAAGGAAGTCTTCCCTGTTTTCTGAGGAAGGAGGTGCTCTGAGGTTCTGCTCTGGGAATCTCCTCTCTGAGAAGATTCTGAGATTCTCTCTGAAAAGAGAATAAAAACACTTACCTACATTCATTTCCCCCCTTGTCTTTCTAAAATGTATTTTAAGATTTCACAAATGACCAACACCCAGAAACCTGTAATTCCTCCATTTTTACCTCCTTCAAATTAAAATCTCTTAATGTTGGCAGGTTGCTTGGTCTCAGTAGAGGTACTAGTGTGAGATTATCTTTTTAGAAAATTTTTTCCTATATCAAATTGTTTGATTAGTGGTTTCCAAAAAAAATCCAAAGAAGAAATCATGACAAAATGTTTTATGTTAACTTTGCAAGGCAAGTGTGAGATAAAACGGTGGTCATGTATTGTTGAATTAGCTGAGGTGACTATGGATAAAATTATTTGGATTGAAAACAGGTATGAAAATGGGAATATTACTTGCTCCAAGGTTTTAAAAGTTAAAAATTTAGGAGATCTCCTTTGCCTAGTTTATTGGGAAAAGTTTGCTTTTGATAAACTTTCTCAGATTTGCTACTTATTAACAATTAAATATTTATTTTTATGAGTAAATTAGGAAAAGTAGCCAGCTAAGACTTTTTCACAATTTAATCCGTCTAGTGACAACATTTGATTTCAGAGTTTTATCTAAGGCCATTGTAAGTGGTATGAAAAAATATAGCTTGATTATATTTGGGTAATTATGTCTGTTTTTATGAAGTTAGTAATCATTTTCACATGGGAGAGTTGATTTAAAAAAATGGATTACTTTAGGCTCTATATTTTATTTAGATTACACCAAAAATAGGCATGCTTGAGGAGGATATGTGTATATCATTCGTGTGTGTGTGTGTGTGTGTGTGTGTGTATCTTTGTAAACCCTTGTATAAATATGTGCTAAAAAAATAACTAGTTGTTTGGTTTTTGCTATATCTAAGCAAAATCCTGGCAGAATAGATGCTATGAATGGACAATGTTCTTTATTTTAGGAAATTTCAAATTATTCAAAAGTAGAGTAGTGTACCCATGTACCCACTAACCAATTACAACAACTTTATTCCTCCCATATATTCTATTTTGAAGTAAACCACGGGATAGCTTATCTACTTCAGACACTATCTAAAAGATGACTCTTTAAAATGTACACATATATTTATACTTTAAAATTTAATGATATATGCCATAGTACCATTGTCACATAGTGGTGCCTCTTGAATGCTGTTGATTATTTCATAGCTTGGATCTCTGACTTTGTAATAGTGGTCTTAAATATTCCTCATAGGCAGGGTTTCCCTGTTTAAAAATAGAAGTACATTATTAAACAGGTTTAGTAATTTTTACTTTCAAATAAGTTTTTAGTTTCACAGTGTAACATTACATAAGATACTTAATTTTCAAAATTAAAAAAAAAATTTGTGAGCATATGGAGAAACATTTTTTCCAAAGGGCATCCTTCCTTTTCTCATGCAGATTTTAAACTGTGGCTGCAGGTGGCCAGTTTAAAAAAAAAATGACAAACATACAGCTTATTATTTGCCTTTGGAACTTAATACAAAAAAAAAAAAAAAAGACTTGACTTTTTAAGGCTCTTTGAAATTAAATATTACCACAAAGCAAGGAACCATAAAGTGGAAAATCAGGTAAATATTCAGTGTTGAATAAGTTACCTCCATTATTGTTTAATGTTTAACATACCGATTCTTCATATTGCTAGTCTCATCTTTTAGAATATTTACTTGTTTCCTTTTCTGCCTATATTGACTAAAACTGTGAGCTCCTTGAAGACAGGCTTGCTCATTCCACTGTATCCTCAGTGTCGTTTCTGGCATGTAGCAGATAGTCAGTTGAATAATCGAAGAATCAGCAGATGTGTTTGCCATATCTACCTACTGTTTGGACAGATTTTTACAATAGAATAATTTTGGAGAAATAGGATTCTTGTTTTGAAGTTATCCCCAGTGGTCCCTCCACTGTAGGGAATCACCTAGACATGCATTCACATGTGTGTGGGGGGGGGGAGTGATAGAAACAGGGAGTGATAGAAACAGCCGTTTGCAGTGGGTGGGGGGGAGTGATAGGAACAGCTGTTTGCAGTTTACTTTGGAGAAACTGGCTTGAAATAAAATCCAGATGAGGAAAAAAGCCAAAAGGCAGATTCCATATGAGCGAGCACATCCTACTGCCTGGAAATGGAAGCTCAGCACTTACCCTGCCTGGATAGAAGAGAGTGTCGTATAATGATTCTAAGACATTTAACTTAGTATAGCACCTTTCTTTTGGTAGAAAATGACAGTGAGATATATCCTTATTCATACTTTGTGTCTACAGGGCATATTTCAGTGTAGTTGTTTTAATTTGAGATACCTGTAAGTGCCTTTTTTTGTCTACTGGTGTAATTGAGGGGAAAAAATATAGCACATTCAAAATTACTATAGCAGATTAGAAAAATACAGCTTAAAAGTGCTACTTTGGTGGTCTGTAGAGGAGCCAGAAATGTAAGAGTATGTGGCAGTCAAAGTCAAGAATGTATCATTTTAACTAAGTAGAAACTCCAAGGTCATCGGTCACCTCACATAACTAAATTTCTGATCATGAGTGAAATTTTTAGCAAGGTAATATAAGCTGGGATGGCAAGAGCCTGCTGCAATGTATATCCGGCAGTTTCCTTCATCTCATTGTATAAAATCATGTTTATTTATTCCATAACGTGAAGTGTCTGCTCTGTGATAGATCCCAGAGTTAGAAAGATCCTGTTCATAGTCAAGTGGTAGGAGTTAGAGGAAAGTGAATGGGATGAAGTGCATCAGCATTTCATTATATCTGTTGGTGCTGAGAGTCAGCCATGCCCATCATTTAGACAGACCTGTCTTCACGTGGTATACAGATTAAATTTTTTTAAAATAAAGATCAGAAACAAAATAAAAACTATTTATTGCCCCCTAGCCCCCACCAATTCTTTAGTGAAGATGAGGAATCAGGGTAAGTGGCATGTTTCCTTGTGTTATTAGTGAAAACAGGTTTGAGCTATATGTGTCAGCATTTCCTGCAGGGGAGGTTTTTCTCTGAAGCACCAAAGGGCATACATTTATCTTAAGACCATGGAGCTAATTTAGAATGGAAGAACTGCTGTATTTTACACCAGGATTTAAATGTTGGAAAGTAGATCATTTTGGAAAGAGGAGCACACTAGAAGTAGCTTAATTGTACTAAACCATAAATGTAGCATACCTTCTTTAGATAAGTTGCTTATATTTGTTGAGTTAAAAGGATGCCTTCCTGGAGATAGGGAAAAGGGCCAAAATGGATTGACCTTTCACTATAGCTATCTTGGGAGGTAATTGGTTATGTTTAACCACTTTAGATAATTGTGTTAAATTAAGTTTTAAGGTATGACAGGATGTAAAATGTTAAGAGCAAGTCTAACACCAAGTTAAGTGTGAATGAAAGCCTGAGAGTTGCCAATATGATGAGCTGTTAAGACACCTTTTCTGAAATTGGTCCAGAGAGGTAAAAAAAAAATGTCAGCTTTGCCATTTGAATAACATATTTATTTGCATTATAGAATTAAAAAAAATCTATTGTGTACCTACATTTGTTGTGTATACTCTCTTTGTTTTGATCATTTATATCAAATTTGGTATTAAACACTGGTTCCCTAATTCCAAGTACAGGGTTTATGTCTTCTCATCAGTTAATGTATTCACTGGCATAGCTTTTTCCCAGTGAGGCTCATAGCAGAATCTGGGACCCTGGCCATGGAGTGTTAGGATTTATGACACAGTTCTGGTCTTCTTTCTCAGGACAACTAAGGATCTTTTTGCTCTAATTCTTATAATTGTCATTTATATGACTTTCCTGGATTTAGAGGATAGTGCAGTAGCCTTTGTAATTTGGATTGTGTTCTTCAGAATAGAGAGGGAAGAGGCATCTTTTTCAAGTAGTCAGATCTTCGAGAGACAGCCCAAGTTTCCTTATCTCTTTGGAACACCCAGTTTTATCAACACAAAATTGAGAGTTAAAGGGCTGAAAAATAATATGGCTAAATCACTGCAGTGATTTACCTTATTTTTGTTACTTAAAAATCACTTTGCCCCTATGTCTGTATGCCCTTGCATATGTCAAGCCATGACTCAGTTTGGACCTTCCTCTTAAATCCCTTTACTGAATTCTGAGAAATGTATTTTGCTAATTATAGTCCAGACTCAGAGTTGCTACCATGACATATATCCACTCATGCTTTCTTTTATGTATTCTGAAAATACTTAAAACTTATAGATTATGGCAAATGATTTCCAACTTAATGGAAATCAGTATAATGAGAAAAATGGAGATGTACTCATGGTATTTTTCTGCCCTTTTTTATAACTTAAAACCAATACCTAACTACCTACCTGAGTATTGGTTGGTGACTTCTGAGCCCAATGGAACAGACGTTCATACACATTTCCGTCATAGCAGCCAAGTGCTGAATTTAAACACTTATCAGTGAAGTCAAAAGCATCAGTTAACAAGATAGCATCCTTCCTGTAAGAGAAAACAAGAGTGTGCATTTTAAATTGATTTTACGGAACCTCATTAATCTGGGATGGAGAATAACAATTAGAAGTTGCATCATTATTCACTTTCACACAGTTCAGATTTACTTTTTCACTTGTTTTGATTTTTGATGAGTTGTTATGTGTCAAGTGAAAAGCCAAGTAGTTGTTATTTAAAATCAGCATATTCCCTGTTTCTAACTTCTGTTTCCTCCCTGTTACTGCCATTATTTCAGTTTGTTAGCTGATATTTTTGTTATTTACCTGAATATTTAAATATCTTGTTTATATTGTTACTTCTTGATTGTTCAGCTTTAGATATTATCTGTTGACTCTCCACTATAAAAGACAAGGATATTTTTAGTACCCTCTCCCCTACCTCTCATCTACCACCTCCCCAGGCTTCTTCCCCTTGACCTTCCTGCCTCCCAATATAAGCATATTTTTGGCCAGACTGATATTCAGTGCTTACATTATTAGGACATTATAACCGTATACATCCTGTATATTTTTATGACTTTTATGTATCCTGTTCACAGCTGTGCGGTGTCCCTACCACATCTCTCCTTTATTGGAGTTTACCTCCAGGCTTAATGTTTCTCCCTATCACTCCTGCTATAATTTTTTTTTTGCTATAATTCTTAATGATTTCACTTTCTAGGTGGAAGATTCAATTTCTTGAATCTTCTCCGTTGACCTTGTTCTGAAGTTTCCCTCTGTCATTCCCTGAGAAGATGACATACCAGGAGTGACAAGGGCTGCATGTTCCCCATATTATCAGCCACGTTCCATTTATTTTCTCCTATCTTTCGACCTTACTCCCTCTATAATTCTTTCTTTCCTTTTCAAGCAACAAGTTGTGTTTTAACCTCTAGAGAGTGAAATAAATTGTCCACATGATCTCTTCCTTTTTAAGCAAAGGATATAAAACATAATGAGATTGTTTGTATGCACTCTTGACTAACCCTTGTTCCACACGCATTTGAGGTGACTGGGATATGGTATTTATTTTCATCCTTTCTGAATGATCATCATCATTATGAGGTAATTTTTCAGGTAGGGCTATTTCAAGTTCTTTGACCTGCTAGCACCTACCACCTTTTTAATGTCCCTCATCTCCCTGGGGTCTGTCTTTCCTCCTTATTCAGCTGAAATTCTATGGTCCATTATATTCACTCCCTTCATCATACTTATTTAGCAAAATCCTCTTTCATAATCTCCATTTTCCACCAACTTTGTATCTATGATTGGAAAAACCAATATTGACTAGTATAAGGGCTAAAAACCCTTATTTTACTTCCTAGCAATCTCATTATATTATTTAAATCTATTTAATTTCTCATTCCCTTAAATGATAATTTCATACCTTCTCTTTGATTGTCAAATTTCTACTACCCACTTCCATCTCTCTTACCTTTGCATCCTATTTCACTGATAACATAGAAGCAGAGCATTTTCATCACTTCCCACCTGTGTACTCATGAGTACAATGCTGTCTCTTCTCTCTGTCTAGGCTTTCAGATCAGACCAGTTTCTTCTCCATGAGGAGCCTTCCCTTACCTACTGGAGCACAAACTTTTGACTCTAGTTCCTTCATCATCTGCCCCATATTTTGGCTTCCTTTTATTACGGAACTTTGAGAGCGTGTTTAGGCTTGCTATTTCTAGTTTTCCTGTTCTTAACTGTATCCATTCAGGTTTTCACGCCCACCCTTCCACAGACATGACTCTTGCCAATGTTACCACCTCATCTCTTTGCAGTGTCCTGACCATAAGTACCTGGGCTGTTTCTTCTCAGAAGCTCATTCCTTGTAATATCTGCCTTCTCATGGCTTTAAATACCAGCCACATGCAATGACTTCCAAATTTATCTTTCCAGTCTCACCTGCTTATTAACACCTTATTTGATTTCTGGCAGGTTCTTTAAACATAACATATTCAGCATCAAACTTCTGATCTTTTAGATCTTCTGCCCATCCTGCCAAACCTGGTCCTCTAGTAGTCTTCCCTATTTATAGTAAATGGTACCTCTATCCTGGCCCAAACCCTGAACTCCTCTTTGTCTCATACATCCCACCTCTATAATCTGTTGGCAAATCCTGTTCTCCAAAAATCTGCCCAAACTTTGACCACTGCATACTACTTCCAGCGCTAACACCCTGGTCCAATCCACCATCATTTCTTATCTGGATTAAGAAACCTCCTAATGGGGCTCTCAGTTTTTTCCTCCTCTTCCTCTCCCCAGTCAGTCCTTATATGGCAGCAACCGATCCTTTAAATTCTAGCTACCCTGTGTTTGAAACTCCCTTTTTAACACAAAGTAAAAGCCAATCTTAGGTTTTTGCAATGATTGTACCTTCTTCCTTGCCCCTCCTCACACATCCTTAACTCTGACCACTCCCAACTTCTGTGGCCTCTTCTCTGTTCCCTGGATAGTAGTGCCAAGTGTACTCTGGCCTCCCACACTTGTTCTGTGCTTCAAATGTTCCTTTTCCAGTCAACCACATGGCTCCTCTCACCCCCCCTCACCCACTTAAGATCTTTTTTTGAATGTCACCCTTCCTGACAGGCTTCCCTGACCTATTATTAAAAACTACAGCCCCCTCACTCCATCCCCAGCATCCTTAATTCCCTTTCCTGCTCTACTTTTCTTAGCATTTAACCACTATTTTTCACACACTGTGTATTTGACTTCGTGTGTGTGTGTGTGTGTGTGTGTGTGTCTTCCGTACTGTAAACATTTGTGGCTTTTTTAATCTGAAAATTGCAACCTTCATTTGAACTATCTTGAATTATCGTATTAATAATGTACTCCCTTTTCTTCGCTCTTTTTTAGACCTGTTTTACAGCTGGGCAGTTAGTAGGAGACCTTTTACCACTTTTATCTTCTATTTTCTTCCTTTTGCTCTTTCTAGCAGGTTTCTGCAGCTTTATCCTCTAGTCCTTCACTTTTATCCCACTATAATTTTTTGATTTTTCTTTCTCTTTGTGAATATTGCTTTTTTAAGAAATGATGTTCTCTTGTTTTATGGTGGCAGTATCTCTTAACTCTTGAGGTTATTACTAATCTTTTAAAGTTTTTTCTCATTGCATATTCTCTTGAGTTGCTGGAACTTTGGTATCTGTACTTTATGTTAGGGTTTTCCTCAGCAGCCTGGTGATCCCTGAGTGTTGATCATATGGTGCATTAACCAGATGATTAGAAGTCTGTGGGTGTGCTAGTCAATGGAGTTCACTGTGGGGTGAATTGGGTGTAGGCCATTGGGGGAACCCTAGTGACAGTGTTTTTAGCTGGACGGATGAGAGTCTCCAGAAAAGAATCATGTTATTTTCCTGAAGGTTACTAGCCTGGTTGCCGGTTTTCGGGAACCAGTGGGGGAAAAGCATTTGCCCAGTAATTTTATCCAAGTCCTTATTTTGGCAGGGTCAGTCTTAAACTATGCCTGGTGTTCCCTAGTCCACAGATCCTTTGTTTATCCTTCTGGCAGGATGGGATTGAGGAAAGACTTAAAGAACTACTCACAGATGATGACAAAGGGAACTAGGGACTCAATTTATGTAGGAGACTTCCAGTCATTCTCTGTCACTCTTCTCTTTACCTCTGAGACCTGAGATTCTGGTGTTGGGGTGTTGGGTTTTTTGGGTGTTAACTTGCTTTTAGATTTTTCCCTTTTCTGGTTGAGGATTAATGTTTTCTCAGATTGGTAAATCATAGTTTATCCATTTACTTTCCAATTTCATATTTCCTCTCATTCTCTTTTTTCTTTGTGGCTTTATGTCTTAAAAAATTTAAATCTACTTGCTGCTATTTTAATAGTTTCAAGTGGGAACAAAAGTAAATGCACATATTCAATCTGCCACCTTTGCCTGAAAGCCCCCCAACTGAGATTTATAACAACTGAAAAACCATTAGGGTAAATTAATTACCATTATACAGAGAGCTGGTTCTTAGTGTCCCTAAAATAGTGTGCCGTCCTTCACTTGCCATCTCATAAATGTGAGGGTGATACTGAGTAATCAGGGAACTGCATGCTGGAGGACAAGCTTTTGACTCTAGTTCCTTCATCATCTGCTCCATCTGACATAGAACCATTAGAAGCTTAGACTCCGTTACATACCTAATTGCCTGCAGTGGTCTGGAGGTTACTTAGGAGCCATAATGTGAATAAATCAATTTGTGGTTTTGATGCATGCATAAATTGTCTGTTTGCCTCAGTGTTGCCTGTCTTGTCTTGAATTGTAAGTCTCTGGAGCCCAGCAAGAGCTTAGAAATGTTGCTGCAGATGAGAAATCATGAGGTTTTAAGGTGATCTTGTGTTTCATTACCAAGGACAGTCAAGGCTAGCACATTACTGTCTTTTTGTGCTTTCAAATACCAAGTATATCAGAATGTTAGACACACTTGGGCATGAAGTGTGCAGTGTTATGAATGGTTTGCTGGATTTTCGGTATTAGGAAGAGTTTAGTACCTGGGCATAATTGTATTGACAGTTTTTGATGATTTAATTGAGCAAGCATTTATTGACCACCAGCTATACTGTTAGATGATTATATGTAGTCATAAATGGCATGTAAGGTTGCATATTGTTAGAAATAAACCTGTCATGATAATCTTATTTAAAGAATTTTCAAATTTTCCCCCCTTTTGGTCTTCATCTGTTTGATAATGTGACCCCGTTGAAGGTTCTAAGGGGAAAAACATGTGCACAGTGCGCACACACACACACACACTCACACACCATGTACCACAGATATCATACTTTCTCAAAAAAGGTTGTGTTCTCAAATTAACACATTTTTTAATCTTATGAGCAAATAGTGACTAATTTGTATTGTTTGGATTTCTGTTTCTTTTAGCACCATGGTCAGAGTAAGATCATAGTTTTGATACATTTTTGCAGTGATCATTTAGATTACATGTAAAGGAAAAAATATGAAAAATGCCAAAAAAAGTAATTTGAAAGAAAATATTAAAAAAGGAAAGCATAGCATTAGTATATCATGACCCTAACTTACACAGCATTAATGCTGCATGTAAAAACTAGGTATTATTGTTTTATAAATTATTATATAAACTACTGGGATTAGTGGGTTTTTTTTTTCTATGTATTGTATAGCATGATTTGCACCATTGCCCCCTCGTTTTTTTGTTCTTTTTCTCCTTCTTGAAGCTGAGGTAGTGTTAAAATAAGTTTGTTCAACTTAGTAAGAGTTTGCTTAACTACATTAAACAAGGACAAAGGTATATATTAAGTATTTGGAACAAACAATAGCCCAGATTTAACCTTAATGCATAGCTTAAGAGCATATGATGTGGGATCAGACATATGCGTCTTCCTCTGACTAACTGGTAGCCATGGCAAGTTACTTAGCTCCCTTGAGCCTAAATTTCCTTCCAAGTAAAATGGGAGGAGATTAAGATTAAAAACTTAAAAAAGGCTGTAAGGAGTAAATGAAATGATGTATGTAAAAGCACAGTGCCTGGCATATATAAATGCACCTTAATGTTAGCTCTAAGATTCGTTAACATTGCTACTAATACATATTAGTTTGTGGTTTGCTTTTTTTATTCATTTTCCTTAGATACTGTTCTGTCTCCTTGGCCATGTTGATTAGTTCACTTGAGGTAGGTAATTTATTTTTACTTCTAACTTTCCCCCATCTTTTCTTTCACTAATCCATAATACTTTGTGTGTAATAATACTCTTCAACGTTCTTACTGCTTTTTCCAGACCCTGTTTAGCAAGGTTTTGCGCTGAAGGTTTTGGAGTTTAAAGTAACCTGTGAACTAATGCCTAGAGCTATTTTCTGAAGATTACCCTGTTTTGAGGGTCAGCCACTTACCGGATGAGGGGGAGCAGGTCCAAGTAGGCTGTTCTTGCCATATCTACTTGGGCACCAGACAGAAATCCATCATGGAGAAAATCTCCTGAGGCAGTCAGGATCCCATGTAAAGCATAGAGGTCGCAGAGGCGTTTGAGTGCCTGCTGAATTGGTGGTTCATCTAGTTTCTTCAGAGCTTCTGTGAAATTCTTCACAATGATGTAGTAGCAGTGTGCCTGTGAAGATACAAAGATGCCTTAGCCTCTGATTTCTGATTTCAGAAGTCATACTGGAAGCTTGGCCAGACTGTTGGATGACTCATGTGTACACATTTCCGTGGCCTGGTTCCCTACAGATGGCAAGCAAGCGCCTTTTCTCCTGCGCATTATGGGCCTGACAGGTTTTTTGAAGATGTTGTGTTTGGACATTTGTGGAGGGCTAGTAGACTCCAGAACATGCCCTTAGTCTCCTCACTTTGTTTAGGGTAGTTTCAAGTAAGTTTGAAAGTAGAAAGAAAGAATATCAGAATACTGGAACCTGGAATGGGAATGGTGATGAACAGCCCACTTTTCTCAGGAAAACAGTTGTGTGTATCTTCAAGACAGTGGTGTGTGTGTGTGTTTGTGTATAGTATGGGTCTTGGAGCAGAAAGTAGGGATACAAGTTGTATACAGAATTTCTCCCAGATAAAGTATAAACTCCTTGAGATAAACAGGGCTGTTTAGCCCATGTGCAACAGACTGACTTCGTCAGTGATTTAAATAATACTTTAGTATTGCCCTCACAGGCTCTATCCTAGGAGCCCCTTTCTCCCCACAGCCAGGCATTTAAAGAGTTAAAGCCTTACTCAGCAGGAGGGCACAGAGCAATCACAAAGGACTGCTCCGTGCCCCTTCCCGCCTGTTACTAAATATTCTAACTATTTCTGCTCTGGAAGACCAAAGCACTTATTTTTATCACCAAGGATTAAAAATTCTATGGGGGGGGGGTCTCTCAGAGAGAAAGGGAAAGTGGAACAAACAAGTCTTCTCAAATTTTTATATGCATACAGGTTACATGGAGATCTTATCAAAATGCAAAATCTGGGATAAAGAATCTGTGCTTTCTGACAAGCTCCCCAGTCATGCCTGTGCTGCTTCTGGTGTCTTTAAGGCTGAGAGTGTCTTTGGAACTTAAAGGAGTTTGCCAAGGGGACAGAGAATGGTGGAAAGGTCACTTCATGTAGAGGGGCCTTCCTGTGCATGAACTCTGTCACCTGGACCTGATGTGCTCAGACGTGCTGGGTTTATAATATTTGGATGTGGAGCAGATGTGTTCTACTGTCCCTCTCAGGACAAACAGCTCTTGTTGTTCATGCTGGACCCAGTTTGGCAAAATTAGAGACCCTCACTTTTCCACCTAACCCTGTTTCCCTGTTCTTACTGGAGGGTCACTTAAGTTCTCAGGGCCTTGGATTGAAGAGTGGAGCAATAAGAGCTGCTTGAGAGCTAGGCCTTCTATGCATTGGAAAGCAGGACGAGGACTAGAAAGGACCAGAAAGCTCAAATGGCCTCTACACTTCAGGGAGAGGTTGAGCCAAGCCTTGCCACCTTGCCCTGAGCACAGTGAACTTTATTTACTTTTGCATGTCTTAGTTCAAATCTTGCTTCCTGACTGATTGGGGGATGGATGTGAGGCATTTATATGCTAGTTACCTCTCTAGGTTTTATATATATATTAACTCATTTAATCTTCCTAATCATCCCACAAAGTAGCTATGTTATTAGTTCCATTTTGCAGATGAGTAGCTGAGCCTTGGAGAGGTCATTCGGTTGTAAACTAGCAGTGAGGTCTGTGAGAATCCAGAAACCAGTGAGAATCTGTACTCTCCTGTACTGCTAAAGCCACCAGATTGAGGCTGGATTGTCATGAATACCAGCTTTTGTCTCCATGACTGAGCTAGATACTGATCTAGTGGCTGTCTAGAGACTGATACCTCTTCTGGGCAGGGCTTGGCATTATAGGACCAGAGCTCATCATAGGCTGACCAGCTCCTTCAGGTCACTGTTTTACAAAAGAGAAGTTAAAGCCCAGAGAGGGGAGGAATGCCAGAGGTCACATGGCAGGTCTCCTCAGAACTGGGAAGACCCAGCTCTTAGGCTAAGCCCAGCACTTAGGGGAGGCTCCCTCCTCCTTGTCTAACCCTATGCTTCTGTTCCCAGCTCTTTAGGTGCTACCACTCCCTGTCTGCACGTTTATAGTATTCCAGATGGGATCTGGTTGGATGTTTAAGGTTTCTGGGGAGTAGATGGCTGGCTAAAGCATAAAACCCTGTAAATACAGATTTTGCTGCCCATGTGACTTTTGAGACTCAGCTAGGGCACTTTCCAGGAAGGTGCAGGGACTGACTTTCCTCCAGACTGGTTGATCACTTACCCTTGGTGCCCTCAGAGCTTGGGGCTCCTCTCTCTCACACACGCACAGAGAATCCCTCATGTGTGACTTAGCTCCGTGGGGAAAGGAAAACAAAGCATCTTGACTCAGCTCTGTCCTACGGCTGGGACTCAGTGCTCCTGAGTTCTGTTTCCTCATCCCTAAAATGGAGATTATTCTACACTCCTTCCCAAGGTTGTGTGCATGAAATGACGTAATGCTGGCAGCAGCGTCTGGTCCATTTGGAGGCAAGGCAAGGGTTGAAGGACTTAGGAGTAGTGGGCAGCTGTGGTTCTTTTCTGTGGTCTGGTGACAGCACAGTATGGGCACACTCTCCTCTGTGTTGATGGAACATTTAGCACAACAGGGGGCGCCCCTGTGCAGGCCCATGGCAGATGTAATGGAGATGGTGGGTCACTGGGGAATGGAGATGGTGGGTCACTGGGTAGCACTGATGCCCCGCCTGCCCAACCAGCCCTTGCCCCATACCAAGCCACAATGTCTACCCTTTACCCAGCTAATTTCAGCCCATCTTTGAGTCCTAGCCTATATGCCATTTCTGGGAAGCCTTTCTGATTCCTCAATGTGGAGGAGATGTGCCTGCTCTGGGGTCCCGTGGCACCTGCACTAGCCTATCACAGTGTTTTTGAACTGTAGTTGTGCAGTGGGTACTGTTGAGCCCCTAGGATCCAGCTCAATGCCTGGTCTTGAGTGGGGTCTCAAATATTTGCTGACTGACTGAATTAAGCACAAACACAAAACATCGTGAAATTGAATCAGACATCTAGGGATTGCCTGTGGGACTGAGGGGGGGGAGAGACATGACCTGTTTTTCTATCTGGAAAGAAATATTTGAACAACCTAAAGCAAATCCAATAATACCGCCTCATTACATTTTTTCCTAAGAGCTACCAGCAAGATTGCTTTGGAGTTAAGTCCTTTAATTAAAATACCCTGGACGAAGCCTTGGAAGTGAAATGAGGGCAGCTGTTGAACAGAGCTGGGGAATAATGGCAGAACTTGGATTTTCCCAGCAGGGTAGCCGTCTGTGAAGCAAAACAGGCCTCTTTCAGCTTCTACTGACTGGAAACTCACCTTTGCAGCCTGGAGGTGTATGACAGTGGTTTGATTCCAAGCCTCCACCCCGTCAAACCCAGCTTGTATTCGAGTCTGTAAATTGTGTACTGAGTCCTTGATGAGCCTGCAGAGACAAAGGTTTAATTTCTTGACCATGTGGGAAAGAGACTGGTGGGGTTTGGGTTCCAGTCTGCCTGGGGTTCCTCATAAGTAGGGATAATTCTCATTTATTCACCACCTAGGTGTTACAAAGCTAAATACTTGGTATACATTATGTCTTCAGCCCTTTTTAGAGCAGACATTCCCAATTTATAATGGAAAAAACTGAATTCTAGAGGTTAGGTAACATTTCAAGGGTTACACAGCTAGTGGGGAGTGGAACCCTTCCTCACCCCAGAGCTTTAAAGCTCAGGTCCACAGGCCAGGTGTAGCTCCCCTCTTTCTAATACACACTCCATCCTGATACCAGTGTTTTCCCCGTTGACTGACTTCCTGTGGCAGAGCAGAGAATAGTTTTTCTCTAAACGCAAATGAAGCCTGTGGTCCACCCAAAGGGCCCTCCCTGGTGGCCAGCGGGTTAAAGTGCAGCACTGCAAGCTAGCTGCAGCCGCTTCAGTGTGAGTTCGATCCTTGGGTTCCGTTCCTGGTCTCAGAGGTGACCCACATGGTGCGGCAGACCTCTCCTGACTTGCTCACTGCTCTCCTTAGCCATGTGCTTTGTGGATCTGCCTGTCCTGCTCTCCACTGTCTCTGGTGAGTCCTTTCACCACCCCTGCATCTCTGGCCTGTACCCCAGTTCTGTATGCATAAATCAATAAATCTTTAAGAAGAAAATAAAAAGCAACCCTTCTCCCCTAATCCACTAAATGGGTCATGTACCATTTACTTAACCTTTAATCTTATTTTCTATTCCCTGCCATGCCCCGCCTCCCATGACCCTTGGAATTTTTTTGCAGTTTGTTAAATTTTGTTTTCTCAGGGAAGATAAGCAGATGTCATGTTAATTTCCAACCTACAGCAATATAATGACATTTTACATCCTGGGCAGTCTATTTTTCCCTCCATTCCTGACCTAATTGAAATCTTTGTTCTGTAAGCCTTGATTTTTCTTATTGGGCAGGTTTATTGACAGAACCGCAGTGTATAGAATAGTGCCTGGCATGTTACAGGCATTCAATATTTGTGGGATAAATAAGGGAATATCCCAAGTTGCTTGTGATCTCAAAATAACCATTAGCCACTTGTGGGACCATCAGTTGGGATATAATACCTCTTACTAAATACTGAAAATATTTTTTTCCAGGTTGTTCTTGGTGCTTCATATGGGCAGAATGAATGAGTCCTTGGGCTTTTCCATGTTTCCTGGAACCAACTACACCTGGACCTAAACTAATTTTGTCCCTTGATACTGTCATATTTTCAAAATTTATTTTTAGGTTGTAGGATATTTCAAACATACGAATATTGCTTTATTTGTGGGTATTTACATACTGGCACACTCTCAGTATGTACCTATTGCTGCACTCTTTGTATTGCAAATCATAAGAACCTAAAAACATTAAAAAAAAAAAAAAGTCCTTGGGCTCTCCCTGGTGGCATAGCACAGCACTAAGAAGTTAAAGCCTCTTCAGCATGAATTGATCCCTGACCCCTCCCCCCCCAGGTGATCCACAGGGCATGGCAGACCTCTCCTCTCTCACCCACTGCTCTGCTCCCCACTCGTCTCTGGTGAATCCTCTCACTGCCCCTGCCCCTCTGGCCTGCACCCCAGTTCTGTATGCATAAATAAATAAATAAATCTTCAAAAAAAAAGCCCTAACATTGTCCAGAGAGGTGATGTTCTACTGGCCAGCTTGTCCAGGATGAGGAAGTGACGGTGGCATGTGGCTGAAGGGTGTGACTTCCTCTTCTCTCTGCCCAGAGTGGCAGGAGCTAAGTAGACTGAGGAATTTGGGGCCGGGGTGGTTTTCAGATTACCCACAAATGCCCACTCAACCAGTCCCCACCATCCAAGCGTGAGATGGTGCCTACCTCCTGGTGGGTGGCTGATCCCTCAGCCTGGCTCACCTGGCTGCCACGTGTGCCCATGCTGTGGTGTAGAGCTCCGGATGGAGGAAGTCAGCTGGCCTCTGGGCTGGGCATCTGGCTAGGACTGGTGCGGCCAGATATGCGACAGACTTAGGGAGAGATGTCTGCGATGTGGAGCCTGGGGATCCCTGAACCTGCTGATAGTTCTTCACCAGAAACCTGGGGGTGGGCATTGAGGCAGGTGAGAGGGTGGGGGACCCATCGGAACAACCCAGCACCCCTTGCTCCAGAGGCATGCCCTCTTGTTCCCCTACCAGGGCCACCAGGCCGTGGTCCTGCCCTCCTGAGGGCTAGTCGCCTGTTCAGAGCCCTCCTGAGTCAGTGAGGCTCTCTGGGAGGGGCACCCTGAAGCAGTTCCTCTCACTGAGAAGTGGGCTGGAGCTATGGCGCTTGGCAGACACTCAGCCTGAGCATAAGCCCTTTTTATAGTTGAGCAAACGATCTGGTGCTGGTTAGGATTTTGTGCTTTGGGAACTTATGATGAATTGTACAGTGACTATGGAAATTCAGTTTTCTTAGGTGAAAAAAGTTTAGATCCAAAACTGCTGACATAGTGGGAGGATTACAGGTGACTCTTAGCCCTTAAGTTTCTTCCTTGTGACAGCCCAGTGGTTATAGGCTCTGGGCTCCGACAAGCTGGGATTCCCGCTCCGCTGAGAACTATGTTACACTATAGAAGTTATTTCACTCCCTCAGCCTCAGTTTCTCCATCTCCAAGAAACAGATGAGTGTGAAAGGTCTTGTCAGACATAAAGCAGGTGGGAGAGAGAGAGAGAAAGTGCCGGCTGGGAGCCGGCTGACACAGCTTTTCCTTTTTGCCTCTCAAGTTGGAACCTCCAGGAGTAGCCTTGCACTAAATCCGGAGAGGCAGTGAGGAAGGCAGGTAACTCCCTGCCCTCTAAGGGGACCAAAAAGGAGACACTTTCAGATTGTGACTGCTCAGAAGGAGAGAGTGCTAATCTGATGACATGGTCAGGAGTGCATCTCAGGAGGGTGTCATTACTGAGACTGGGAGGGGAGAAGGAGCCAGCGATGCAGTAAACTGGAGCAGAGTTTTAGGGTGGTGCCTGTGATGGGAAAGAAGAACTTTGTGGCTGGCAGCAGTGAGTAGAGGCAGGAGGTCATGAAGGCAGGATGGTGAGGGAACGGGCCAGGTCGCGAGGACCTTGTAGGCGACAGAGTGTCATGTGCCATTTTCCTAGGAGTAGCAGGAAGCTAGTGGAGAAAGCTAAGCGAGAGGAAGATGTCATCTTTTCTAAGCTTTGAAAAGATTTGTCTGGCTGCCTGTGGGGAAAGGGCCAAAGTGGGCTGGGGTAGAAGCGGAGAGCAGTGGAGACACTGCCGTCCAGGTGAGCAGGAAGGTGGCCTGGCTGGAGCTGCAGTATGTCCGTGCGCCCCAAAGCCCCTTTCAGTGAGCATCAGATGGATGCTTCAACCCAAGCAGAAGGTTGATGGGGCCCCCAGGTGTCAGGCCAAGGCCTGAGCTAGCCGAGACCTTACCTGGCCACCTGCAAGTAGAGCACAGTGTTCTCACCCTCGTAGGTGCAGGAGGCTGTCACTTTGGTGACTAGTGATGGCAATCCACTCAGCATGGAGTAGCCGTGTCCACCGCAGGCCCTGCGACACACTTCGGCCCCTTGGGTGCTGAGTTCTGTTATCGTGGCCTTCATCCCTGCGCTCAGCGCGTGGAGCTGTGTGAACAGGAGGGCGTCAGGTAAATGGGCTTCTAGTAACATCCATGCTCACCACCCCTGTGTTGAGCACAACAGGGAGAGGTCAGAATCATATCTTCAGCTCACAACTCTATGAATGAAAGGCCAAGACTGAGAGGTCGTGAGACTCTCTCAAGGTCACGCACTTAGGCAGGGGGACTGGAGGTGGGGCAGGGCAGTAAGACCAAAGGGACTGTCCAGCCAGTGTCTGCGGATCTCAGGAAGAGGGTGCGCTCTGGATGGGGCTCACCATCATCCAGAGTCCTGCATTGTGCTGACAAGCAGAGGATTGGAGGGTGGCCCCGTGAGGGTGGAATCTGTTGACTCACTGTCCTGGGTGTAGAGGGGCTGGCAGGCAGCAGGCCTGGTTTGCTTTGGTTCTTGAAAGTTCCCATCTGTCTTTCAGACCTTCAAGTCCCTAGTCTCTCTCTTGGCTTCATTTTCCTTATATGTAAAGGGGGGACATAAGTGGTGTTTGCTCTCCTGTTGGACCAACTCATGAAGAAACGCTTGTAAGGCCTGACGTCTGAGCAGACTCAGTCTGAGGGTGTATGTATGTCCACAGTCTCCTACCTGAGATCCTGGACTCAGAAACTTTTTGTTGTGCTTTAGAAGGGTAATGTAGGGCATTTAAGGCAGATTACATATCATAACCTCTTAGAGGAGTCTGGGGTTAAACGCATCAGTATCTCTGCTGCAGAATGTACATTCACAGTCAGTGGGATGAATCAGGTCAGCCAGGCTAAACTGCCACCAGATTATTTCTAAATGACTTCAGCTTTCTTGGTTTCAGGTACACTCGAGGAATTGTGCACTTGGGTTCTGTATGCGATGTGTGATTATTTCCTCTAATGTTTTGGGAGCTTTCTGGTAGGCTGATAGGGGTGGATTTGTGTTGGGGTCCAGTTCACTGTGGGTGCCCCAGGACATTGGAAGGCTAGGGAGAGGCTCATGGGGCAGAACGTGGGCTATTTTCCGGGGGTGGAACAATTTCAACCCCGCTCCCCAGCTCTCGCCCCCCCGGCCACACACACCCCCCCCTCCCCGCAGATAGCAGGCACCTCAGGCAGGAGGCTGAAGTCTCTGTCCAGAATGGCTGTGAAGGCGTTGTGGAAGAATTCTAAAAGGTTTTGCGCCAGGAAATGGAACGCATAGGCTGAGGCCAGCTGAGGGAAGAGTTTCTGTTGCTGCGTCTGGTAGTCCAGGACTTTGGCCTCCGGGTCGCTGAGTGGGGAAGTAGAAGGTTGAGAGATCGCCAGGTGCCACATCTGCCTTTTCATGTCCTCAGTGCCCTGAAACGGCTAAACACTGACAGTTTTTGGTAACTCATTGCAAAACGTTATGGACGGACAGGAAGCGAGTAATAGCCCTGAAGTCCCCTGTAAGGTGAATATGAACACACATTTGTGTGCTGGGAAATATGTAGAACCCAATGGGTAACTCAGGATGTGAACTTGGGGCTGTAGGCTCCCAGGCCGTGGGTCTGCCTGGCCCAAGGCTGTGTCCTCAATGCCTGAGTCTGTCCAGCGTGCGGGGGATACACTGACAGATTTAGTAAAAAAAAAAAAAAATTTTTTTACCTGAAATTAACATTTAACTGACAGTCCTATATTTTTATTTGCTAACTCTGACAATAGGACACTTGTGGGGGCCTCTCTGGAGGTGTCAGGCATAAGTCTCAGCACCATCACCCTATCCACCACATGGCGCAGCAGACTTCTGTCTCACCCACTTCTCCCCTTGGCAGTGATTAAGTAAATCTGCCTGTTCTGCAATGTCTCTAGTGAATCCCACACCTCTGGCCGACACCCCAGCTCTTTTACACAAAATAAATAAAATCTCAAAAACAAAACAAAACAGTGTGTGTGTGTGTGCGCGCACACATAGTCAGCTCTTCCCACTCCGTGTCATAAAGTAGAGGAAGCATTAGATAAACCCACACCCAAGAAAATGGATCAAGACTTGGACAATACCGCTGTCGGTGTTGATAGGCCCAGCCACACAGAATCACCCTCAGTCACATCACAGTCTGATGTGACAGGTGGGCTTTGCCGACACGATCACTTACACCCAGAACAAACTCAGGAGCCACAGCCGCCTTCAGCTCGACAGCTGGCTGACCCCGACACACTCACTGGCTTTGAGGCCAGTCAAAGCCGGACTGGGCCCCCTGGACTTGTACAGAGTCAGGTCTGGTGGTGTCAGGCCATGCAGCACCCAGTGGGGCTGGACACAGACAGAACAAGTTGGACTGGCTGGCTGTCAGCTGGGGTCCGAGAGGAACCCTGGCAGAGAGGCCATATGGCAGGGCAGGGCAGAGCAGATGTGTGTGAGGGGAGGATGTGTGCGCTCAGCACCATGCTGTGGTGCAGCAGGTGGTACTGTGCACAGGTACTGTGGGACGGGGAGGCAGCCCTGTCTGTGGTGGTCAGCACCCTTACCCGGGCCGTAGGTGGGACTGGCGACGTATGACTGAGTAGCGAATGGCGATAACACAAGCCTTCTGCAGCAGGGGGATGACCTCACCCGACAGCAGTTCCACGCGTACCACCACCATGGACAGGTAGTTGCTCTGTTTTGTCCCAAGCTTGATGTAGGTGCCATCTGGCAAGACCTGGTAGACCAAGGGAAGGCAACTGGGTCTGAGCAAGACTTCTCAGCCTGCCTCCTGCCTAGAACTGTGGGGGCTCTGTGCTGTGTGGGTTCCACAACCCTCAGACTTCCTCCAGAGCAGACACAATGGGCCATCAACCTGAGCACACCAGCAGAAACACGCCCATTGTTGAAATACTGAAATGTGTCCTTATTGCTGAATGGCCACTGAGCCAAGTGCCCGTTTCTGGGGTCCCCCTCTCCTGGACCTGCCCACAATACACAACCAAAGGTCATGCCTGGCAAGCAGGGACCTCAGAACATCCTCCTGTGCTCAGCAGGTGTGTCCTCATGGCTCGTTGTATCCAGACCTTGCTGTAAGTAAAATTCCAGCCAGCCTCAGCCTCCCTTCCCAGATTGCCTTACCACCCAGACCCACGATTGCCTTGTGATCCATGAGGCAAGCCTGTGCCCACAAGTCTGAGGCTCAATGAGGACAAATGACCTTGCCCAAGGTCAACCCTCAGCTGTGTTTTACCCAGGTCTGTGGGATGTCAGAGCCTCTCTGGGGTTGGGGGTGTGGGGCCCAAACTCAGCCCTATTGAGGAGGATGTGGAGCTATCAGCAGCTCATGGGTGGTGCAGGCTGGTCGCTGGGTCCCCCACCTGTGCAAAGCGACTCAGCATGTTCTCTCTGGGGACCCGCACGTGGTCCAGTTGCAGGAAGCCGTTATCCGTGTGCTCAAAGTTCATCTTGGGCCCAATGTCTCCGACGGTGATTCCTGGGAAGGCGGGTTGGAGGTGTCAGCCGGGCCCTGCTTCTGTGTGCCAGGTGCTGCGTCACATCCAGCTGAGCCTTACAGCAGCCTGGCACGTTAGGGTGACTACCCCTGTTTGTGGATATCCAAACTGAGGACAGACAGTTATCACTGTAGGGTAACTTCTCCCATGGAGAGGAGAGGGAGCCCCAGGACAGGGAAGCTTGCTGGGGTTTCTTCGCAGGGGCTGTGAAAGGAGAACCATGGGTTTACCTGGCAGTGGGGTGTGGTCCTGGAGGCTCCGGATGGGCACAATAAAGGCATGCATGCCCTGCTGGGCTCCTGAGCAGATCAGCTGTGCCAGGACCAGGGCATGGGTGGCTGACCGTCCCACTGTGGGCAGACAGAAGTTCAGCATGATCCCCTGTTTATGAGACCCTAGAGTACAGAGCAGGCAGGCTAGTCCTCCCCATTGGGAACCTGGATGTGGGTACAGTCTAATGGGTTAAGAGAAACCATGTCATGGCACGAGGAAGATCAGGATACGGGGGTGAGGGGGTTTGTTTGACCTGCCTCAGAAAATGTAGGTTGGGGGGGTAATACCCAAGGAACCTGCAAGTCAAGAGGCACTTTCCAGGGGAGCCACACAGGGAAGGGATTGCAAGGCTGAGGACTAGCATACTAGGATTGGATCAGTTGGGTGGGATTGGGCAATAGAGGAGCTAGCCTCCAGGGTTGCAAAGGGCTGAGATGTACTCGGGATACCCTGACTCACATGATCTCTGTCATCCGTGGAAATGGCGGCAAACACTCAAAGACGACAGTGCCTCTCGCTCGAACGAACTGAGTGTTGGCTTCCCTGGTGGCCTAGGGATTAAGTCTCAGCCCTGTCCCTGCTATGGCCTGCGTTTGACCCCCGGCCAGGGAGCTGACCCACGTGTGACACCACGGACCTCTCCTGTCTCGCCCGCTGCTCCCCTCAGCAGTGTATTTCAGTAATTCCTCCCGTTCTGCTCCCCACTCTGTCTCTGGTGGATCCTCTCACACCCCGCACTTCTGGCCTGCACACCCTAGTTCTTTTGTGCATAAATAAATAAATAAATCCTAACGAAAAATCCAAGGTACTGGGTTGAAGGGGTTCGTGGCAGCTTATTTGGTGCTGCTGCCTACTGCGGTTTATGCAGCCCCCACACTCCAGTTACATAGGTGGGGTCCCGCAGGGTAGAGAAGCTCATGGAGGCTGATGGGAACCTTGATGTCACCAAAACCCTTCTTGCCCTCTGGTTAATATCACAAAAAGCAAAGCTTGTTAATGACCATGGACTTTAGTGAAAACAGCCCAACTGGAACAATCTGGGAAAGCTTGGCATCTTTTAACATTTGGCTCTATCGTCTTCTGACTGAAGCATATGCCCTTGAGTCCTTTTGTTTGGATCATTAAGACAGGATCTTTATGCAGAGCTGCCGGGTGTGTGCAGAGCCATGGAGAGACTACAGAAGCCCAATTACGGGGAGCTATGTATCACTGCCCCCATCTGGCAGATGACTTTTAGAGTCACTGATCACAGAGAAAGGGACCTGCCCCCAAAGAGCTAACAAATCTAGCAGCAACTTGCCAAAAGCTTTGTGAAATAATCAAACTTCTCACCCCCTAGCCTCAAAAGCCCATTAGTGAATCATTCCTCGCCCACCTAGTAAAAATGAATGCAGATAATTACCATTTATCAGAATCTAGGTGGTGCCAGACCTTCAGATGAAACTTTGTAGTTTTTGCAAGGCAGGTATGGTGAGCCTAGGATTCCAGATAAGGAAACTGAGGCTCCCAGAGGGCAGTGACGCCCAGGTCACTGGCCTGGAGGGCCAGAACTGGTATTGGAGCCCTGCCTGATTGCACAGATCGACTTCTTTTCTCTGCAGTCGGTGCACTCTCTCCGCTCCTCTCCTCTAGTCCCAATCTTTCCCTCCGCTCCTCTCTCTTCTCTAGTCCCAATCTTTCCCCATGTTCCTGCTTATTTTTCACCTGTCTCTTTCTGCTAAAGTTGGTTTCTTTTTAAAATATTGCCTCCCCCCACCCCATAGGCATTCACCAAATGGCTTCCCAAGTGCCACATGTGTTCTCAGAAATGTATTTTCAAATTGAAGGAAGAGGGTGGGATCCCCTCCTGGCATTTGGCAGATCACTGAAGCCACCGCGCATACTGTGCGGCTGCCACCTGGTGGTCACAGGGGGAGGTGCAGGGGGACTAGCGTGGTGGTCGGCCTGGAGTCTTCCCTGTTGTCTGGAGAGGGGGCTGCTAAGGCTGCTTCTCGCATTCTGTGTAAATCACAGGGTCCTGTGCTCTGACTGCGGCAAGCTTAGTTATTAACTCGAAGATGAGAGGAGTGCCAGGGACAGAGAGGCCTTGGCTCTCGGCCCTCAAAGGTTGGGTTATTTCCAGTTCTGTTTCTCTGGGGGCCTACGGTCACACTGATGCAATTTTTTACCTCTCACCTACTGTCAGAGTAAAAGTGTGAGGCTTAGGGAGGTGATCTGATTTGCTCAAAGTCACCAACCCAGAACAGAGATTCATCTGAGGTCTTCTGGATAGCAAAGCCCATGCTCTTTTGCCCGGTAGCTTAGTTTTCGGGGAACAGATGGGGTTGGAGGATGAATGGATACTTACGGTCCCCAGGCCACCATTTGGTGGCAGTAAGCGTGGGACTGTGCACCACAAACTCCTGGGTGGCTGCATCGTAGGTGGCTATAGTCTCCAGGCCCTGAAGATTTGTTCCTTGGAAACAAGGAGGGGAGTTAGACATGGGGACAGGGAGGGAGTTACACCCAGGGAGTTGCCTCGAGGCGGCCCTGGAATGCTCTGACATTAGCCCAGAATGGAGGCCGCTGCCAGCTGTGCTCACAGGCATGTCTCTATTCACCTGCGGTCTGTGTGGGGACCCATGACCAGACAAGAGACAGTTACTGAACTTGCCTCCCTGGTCCTTACACAGTCTGTCTATATAAACTAGAAAAGGGCGTCCCTTCCTCCACACCCTTGACTATCACCTGCTGAGTAGATTCAGATTAAATAGACAAATCCATGCCTACAGAGATGTCTGTGGGCACACTGCCTGCAGCAGCCCTGGCTCACCATGTCCCAGTTCCGTCTGTGCGTACGTTGTGAGGATCTGGAACTTCTTGCACAGTGGGGCCCATTTGGCAATCTGCTCCTCTGAGCCCAGGCTCCTGAGGGCATTCTGGAAGACGTTGTGTATAACTAAGGCTAGGTCTCCAGAAAGGGCTCTGTGGGGGAGAGACACCGTGGTTGTGGTTGAGCAGTCCATGGGACCCAGAGGCCCACGTGGCCTGGTTTCCCAATCGTCTTTGTTGGGTGAGGAAAGTTCGTGGGGCTGGAAGCTGTTGGGTGACCCCAGGTGAACTCCTCTCCCGTGGGCTGCCCTGGGAGTGAGTACCTGTAAGCATAACGTAATTCCCGACCATCATCTGGCCAGCCCAGGCGCTGGGCTAGCATCTGGACATGGACTTTCTTCTGAATGGCGGCCTTGTAACGTTCATTCTGCGTCATGAAATAATTATCCTTCAGGTTAAGCTGTGGGTCATCATGTATGATGCGCTCTGCCAGCGATAGAAAACGAGGGCTTAGAGACCTGGGAGAGGTTGCTGGCACCTTCCGATCTTCTCACGTGGACAGGGAAATAAATCAGACATTACTGTCATCTTACAGACGCGATGATTGAGGTCCAGAACTGGGACACTGACTTGCCCAAGTGACAGAGCTACACAGGAACAGAATGTGAACCAGCATCCGGGTCTCCTGCTGCCTAGGACCCTTGTGTCCCTCAGATGGGCCCAGGGAATATTGACAAGTTAAAAGCATGCCTTCACTGTCCAAAGCAACGAATCTAACTGGAATTTTGAGAGCCGAGTTTGTTAGCTGAAGGTGCAACTTCCAGCAAAGCCCATAGGCACGTAGCAGACACTCCAGCCTCAGCTTCCTCTTACCGACTTTTCTCCGAAGGGCAGTCTCCTGGGCACCTCCATCGAGGACGTTGGTGAGCCGTTCCACATTGAAGGACCGCTGAAACCTCTCGCTCTTTATGTCGGGGTGTTCGTGCCTGCTCCAGGTATCCCCCAGTGACACTCGGTGCACTGGGCTGCTCATCCTGGCCTGGAGCTGCCTGTGGTTTTCTGGCTTGCCTGAGCCTTGGGTGACACAAACCTGTGGCCGACGGTGTCAGCCAGGGGCGCTTGGTGGAGAAAACCCACTCCCCCCCACCCCCCCGTAAGTACTCGAGAGCCTCTCCACACCCACATGCCTTCCTGGAAGTACAGGCTGCAGACCAGACACTGTCTAGGCCTGATACCAGTATTGCTCAGCTTGTGGAAACCAGTCTAACCACCAAGTGCTGTTCATGCTATGGCCCTGCCATGGGGGCTCGCTGGGAGAACCTGAGGCCCCGTGCACCTGGTCCGAGTCCTGGGCCCAGTTAACCCATTTCTGGGAATCCTAAGGGGGTATTGTGCTGCTGAGGAAGGCGGTGTGCTTCCGGCTTGTGAAGTATTCCCTCTGGACCCCCTGTGTCCCCCCAGAGCCAGGGTGGACCCTGCCTCCTTCAAAGCCAGCCCGCTGCCTCGTAGAAGCCCCTGTTCTCCCACTGCAAGGCCACCACCAGGTATGGGTCCTTCTTCAATCCGTCTGTCTGTGCCATCCCGACCCCCACAGAAACCGCCATCATCTCCCCTTGGTTTCAGCACCTCTTGTCTGTTTTGGCTACCAAGGTGAGTTCTGAAACTGCAAACTGTGCTGTTCCCCTCCACTGCTTGGAATTTGCTGCTTGGTGCCCAAAGCCCTTGGAAGGGATCCATGCTCCCAGCTGGCCAACCCGCCTGGCACCTCGCTTCTCTGACTGGGACTCAGCCTACTCCCCTTACCCTGGGGTGCCTTTCCAGGGCCTCTTACCCTGTGCCCCTCCCCACTGCCCTGGTGTTCTTAGTGAGCACCTGTCTCCAGGGACCCCTCGAAGAAGTCTTCCTGACAGCAGTGCCCTTCACTGCCCGGCTGAGCACTGTTAGAGTGGACACTGAGGCCCAGTTCCTTATTTACCCGAGTGTCCCTCTCTATTACAGTAGTGTTGGGGGAAACAGCACAGTCTTTTCTCAGGTCCCAAAGCCTGGCTTGCAGACCATGTGCAGCAAATTTTCCTGCAGATGGTCACTATTTTGACTTCCTCTCTTTCACCACAACCCTACAAATATCCTGCTGTGGTAGACCCATTTTATAGAGAGGACAGGGACCCCGGGAAAGGAGGACAGGTCACGCAGCCACAGATGGGGTTCATTCGCAGGCTTCCACACACAAGTGGGTGGCAGTCTGCCGGGCACTGGTGAGGGGCCTGGGGTGTTCCAGGAGGCCCTGCCATCTGCCCTTTGGTACCTGCAAGGCTCTCGCCTCTCTTTCTCCTCCCTCCCTCCATTCGAATTGCTGCTGAACACTCCAGGCCTTACCTCTCACCCCAGCCTCTGCCATTCTGGTCCACTGACTAGCCTATGCCTTCTCCTGAACAGACAACCTTGTGGGCACCTTCTTCCCTCCTTCAGGTCTTTGAGCATGGGCCCCTCTTCTCAGGGGGGCCCACATGGTCACCCTCTTTAAAATCTGAACCCCTTCCCCTGGCAATCCCAATTCCCAATCTGCTCTTCTTTTCTCTTTTCACCTATCCTCACATACTAGATTTCCCCACTAGCAATGTTTTGTTTATTCCTGTCCCCAATCCCCCACTAAAAGGCAGAAACTCCAGGAGGTCAGGGAACTTGGTCATATTCACACGCTGGCCCTAACACCTGGTGCAGGGCCCAGCCTTAGTAAACAAGGGTGCTGGTGAAGGAAGTCGTGCTCCACGACTTTACGAGCATCCAGGAGGCTCTTGGCCTGGACAGCCCAGAGCTCAGGGGTCTCCCAGCCCATTCCCTTCTCCCACCCCTCCCCCCAGCCTGCCTGACTCACCTCTGCCCTGTGTCTGCTCTGAAGGCCTGGCAGGCCTCAGCTAGCTGCAGGCCTTGGTGTCTGACTGAGGTCCCAGGCCGTGAGGGCTGTGGATGGCCCAGCCCCTTTCTCCTCCCCCAGAGGGGCTGGAACCCGGAAGACTGAAAGCACTGTCTGGCAGCTTCTTGCTCTGGCCGTCCTGGCTTGTTTCCTTCTTCAGGGGTCAGTGTGACCCTGCCATGCACAGGACAAGGCTGGCTGGCCAGTAGAATGTGACAGCTGTCAGCCTGTTTTTTTTTTTTTTTTTTTTTTTTTCTCTTCTTTTCCTCGCCTTCTGTCCTACACACAGAGGCTTCTCCTGGAAGAGGCACTCACTTTCACTTACAAAAGGAAACACCACAACCCCCAGAGACCAGAGTATTGATCTCAAGGTGTGTCTGGGTGACCGTACCTCGTTAGGCCTCCGTCTTTCATCTGCAACTTACAAGGTATAGAGGAAAGTTCTTGGTAAACTGAGAAGTCCCCAGCATATGGGAGAGTTTTCTTGCTTTCCCATAAGAATTTCCTAATTCCCAGGAGTGATGTTTCATGGTGGAATATTGAATGCTGCGGTAGTCTGCTGGTGAGACACCTCAGGACCATAGCAACGTAAGCACTGGGGTAGAGAAGGGAGAAAACAAAGCTTAGTCTACTTCCAGGCTGGTTTTTGGTGGGAAGGGGCTGCCGGGGAGACAGTCACAGCAGGAATGGGCAGGGGACCTGGACGGGATATTCACAGCCACTTGTAGTCAATTTATATCTTTTTGAACTTAACAGCTTCTTGTTCCTTTCCTGCTCCCTCAGTTCCAGACTTCTCCTGCGTCGTCTGTTCACTTCCTCTGACTTGTCATCTCACTGTAAATATTTTGCTCTCTAGGGAAGTCATTCCAGTCTGAATTAGAAGCTTCTGGACTTGCTTCCTTAGCATCAAGTTTTTATTCCTTGTCATGTAATAAATAATGCATATTGATCTTTGTTCCCAGTTCCTGGCACAGAACTCCTAAGAACCCTTAGGCTCTCCTGAGTGATCAGACTGCTTTTTTCCCTCTGAGTGGGGGCCCACACAGAGCTTCAAGAATGGGGATTGCTCTCCAAGAAGGTCAAACCTTAATCATAACATCGGGCCGTTCTGCCTGCCCCCTCCCGATTTCAACCTCCAGAGAAGAGGGTTTGGAGACTATTAATCCCAGTGACCATAATTGAATGCCAATATGCCTACATCCTGAAGCTTTTATAAAAATCCCAAAATACAGGTTTTGGGGAGCTTCTGAGTTGGCAAACATGTGGTGGGCATGGGAGGCTGGTGTGGAAGCTCTGTACTGCCCCTACCTCCTGTACCTGGCCCTATTCATCGCTTCTGGTTGTGTCTTTTATAATAAATAAACTTATGCACTTTAGTGAAGTGATTTCCTAAATTTTGTGAGCCGTCTTAGCCAGTTATCCAGCCCATGGAGGGCTTTTGGCAACCCTTGCACGTATAACTGTTCAGAAGCAGGGATTGGCATCCCTGCTCCTTGTGATTGATGTCAGAGTGGGAGTCTCTGTGGGGCTGCATCCTAAACCTCTAGGGTGGCTCTGACTCCAGGAATTAGGGTCAGAATTCCGTTGAATTGTTGAACACCCTTTTGGTGTCAGATAATGGGAAATTGATTGTTGGTGTGGAAAAAGCACATATTTCATGTCACAAGTAGTGTTAGAAAAGGTGCCCAGCACAGCAGTGGCTTTTTATTTTTTAATGATATAATAGTTTATTTTCACATTTTTACATTTACATCATTTTGCAAGCAGTGGCTTTTTTTTTTTTTTTATGATTGGTTTGGTTTCTATTTAAATTCTCAGTGAGAGCAAGAACAGTATTGCTCTGGTTGCAGTCCCTGCCACAGGTGATTGAGACAACAAAGATTGACAGGAACCAGGATTCTCTACTCCAAGGGCATGACCAAGATCTGGGAAATGCTCTGGAGCTTTGACACTTTTTTGAAAGCTGTGTGTGTGTGTGTGTGTGTGAGAGAGAGAGAGAGAGAGAGAGAGAGAGAGAGAGGGAGGGAGGGAGAGAGAATGAGAGAGTATGTGTGTCCACCTATTGGTATTCCTAACCCTCTAATCTCAAAGCTGGGGATTCCTTTGGGGCTCCTTGTACCAAAAAGCTATATATCCAGCTGTGTTTCCAAAGAGATCTTGGTCTTTCTGCCTCTTTCCTGACCTTTCCCCATAGCTCCTGCCATTCTGGGCCTTTCAGGAATTCAAGCTGTTAGAATCACAAGAGTTTAAAAGCTCCCCCAGGTGGCCGTCTGCGAAAGGGTTGCTGTATTAGGGTGATTGCTCCCCTCCCACTGTTTCTGCTCTAAAATTGACTTGATTATGCTTAGCATGAGTGTTTGCACGTCCCTCTTCCTCATTTCCTGGACAAATACATTTGAAGAACCTGCTGAGCAAGTGATATTGTGCAGAGTAGGAGGGAACCAGGTCTTGGTAAGGGTAAAATGGGCCTAGGGTTTCTCACTGCCCCCTTGCATCACAAGCCTAGAAAGTCAATGCATCTCTGCATTTTGCTGCTCAGGGAAGTGGTGTCACTTGCCTGCATTTGCACAGTAAATAGATTATAGAGCTGAAATTTGAGCCAGGTCTAATGCTAAAGGCTGGTTCATAAATCATTGGTGCAAACGTGAGAAAAAAGGAGACCGGGGGCTCCTGCCCTGACAGGACTTCTGAGGTGTGGTTACTCTGCCAAGTGCCTGCCTCTCCTGAGCCTGGGTCTCCCCACCTGTGATATGGGGAATTTACTCCCGAAAGGGCCTCACAATTCCCTGTGAAGTCTGAGTCAAAGTCCAACTGTGTCTGGAGGAAGAGGCAGACAAGCCTTGCTATGTATCACCCAGCAGGTCCTGTGGGACGGGACCTGGGTCCCTGGATCCCTTGTTGCTGTTAACAGTGGCTGTGCACAAGGCAGCGGCTTCAGGAGATGTGACCTTTACCCCACTATATGGAGGGGAAAGTTCTGGCTGCTACCTTGGCCTCTGCCAAGGACTTGCGCTGTCACTACCCATGGGCTCTTAATTAATTTCTCTCTGCCATGGTTTTTATGTCTTTTTTAGGGTGTTCTATAGTTATATATTTATGCTTACAAGAACTGGGATATAGGTCAGAGGTGCAGGGGTTGAGAGGCTTCACCAGAGACAGAGTGGGGAACAGAACAGGCAGATGTACTGAAATACACTGCAGAGGGGAGCAGCGGGTGGGTCAGCAGAGGTCTGCTGTGCCATGTGGGTCACCTCCATGGCTGGCTGTGAATTGAACTCATGCCACAGTGGCTTCGGAAAGCTTCAGTGGTGCGCTTTAACTCATTGCGCCACCAAGGAGGGGCCTATACATATATATAAGTATATATATATTTAAAGATATTCTTATAGAAGCAAATGTACAGTACTATATGTAAATTTTTTTCTGGAACACTGTATCTAGAAGCCTATTAAGTGCTCTCCTTAAATAGTCATGAAAGGAGAAATATACATACAAGCTTGAAAACAATAGCATTGTTTTAACTATTTTATGTGATAATGAAATAGGATGGGTTTATGGTGGAAGTTTGGTTCTGAAAGGTTAATCTAAATCTCTGAATAGTGGGGCTTAAAACAGATTCTGCATCTTGACAAATGCCATTTTTAAATTGTTTGTTCATCAACTTTGTAGTTGATTGTGCCATATATATTTTGGATATGGTTATTTCAATTTATTGTACCAAACTATGAATTTTTAGCGTAAAATTTTTATTATAAAATATTTCAAGCCTATACAAAGAGGAACAAATAATATATGAACCAACAACTACCTAACACCCTGCTTTACCAATTGACATCTCATGTCCTGTTATTCTTTGTTTTTAATTTTTTCTTTCAAAATGACTAGACTTTCAGAAAGTTACAATGATAGTTTCTGATGCCTTTCTCTCAGTTTCTGCCAGTGTTAACAACTTACATGATTGTAGTGCAATTTTTGAAACCAAGTAATTATACCAACACAATACTATTAACCAATCTTCAGAACTTATTTGAGTGTGCCAGAGGGTCGCCAAGGTCAATGATTCCCAGAAGTTCAATGATTTGTGAGAAAGACTCACAGAACTCAGTTTGTTGTGCTTGTGATTATGATTTATTGCGGCAAAAGGCTATAGATTAAAATCAATGAATGAAAAAGTTGTGTAGGGTGTAGTCCAGGATAGACCAGGGATAGACCTCTGGTTATCCTCTGGTACTAGAATTGTGTGGATAGCATTTAATTCTCCCTGTGACGTGTATGAAGTGCTGATAACTGGGGACATTGCATTCTTCAGCCTATAGCTGCTTGGTCTTTGCAAACTTAGGTAACTGCCAGGAGGTTTGCCTGGGGCTATGCTGGCATCTGAAATGGAGGGTGTCTCAAGAGGCTGAACCCTGAGCTTCTGAACCTGATGCTATCTCTGGGTAAATAGTGTCAAAGTTGAGCTGAGCTTCCCAACTCTCTGCTAGTGCCTGGCGCTTTTGTCTGGGGAAGCCTCCACAACCCCACAGAAATTGGGTCCAGGAACCCAACTATAAATATTCCAACTTGCTTATTCTTGGTGGTGAATTTCTCTACTGGGCATCTGTTCTTCCCATCTTCTCAGCAACACTTCCCTTTATTTTGGTAAGAGAATCCACTCTTCTGGGAACATGTATGCTCTGGTGCTGTTGCTTCTGCCTCCCTGAGGACATGGGGTGGGCATATGGCCCAGGTATGGTCAATCATAGTCTCATTTCACTGGTCAAAAACGATTGGTTTGCAATGAACACATGATAGTTCTGGGCCCTCGGTGGTGGCGCAAGAGATTAAAGCTCACACTAGAAAATGCTGGCAGCCAGCCAGCCCAGCACAAGTTTGATCCCTGGCCAGGGAGGTGACCCGGCACAGCAGACCTCTCCTGTCTTGCCCACTGCTCCCCTCAGTGGTGTGTTTCAGTCCATCTGTCTGTTCTGCTCCCCACTCTGTCTCCCTCACTCTGTGAGGGTGAATCCTGTCATCCTCCCACCTCTGGCCTGTACCCTAGTTCTTGTATGCATAAATAAATAAATTTTTTTTAAAAGAATACATGATAGTTCCTAACTG